GTAAAACCATTGGCCTGATGATAAAACTCTTCAGGGTGTTTAGGTTTAAAACCCATTCCATTTCCACTCTCAGTCAGCCTGTCATACCGGCCAGCAGCACTGTACTGCCGAGGGGCCCAGTCACCTGCGTTCTGCTGAACATCCCTATTTTAGAAAAAAGCAGGTTTCCTTTCCTTTATCAGTTAAAGGTTAGCTCCTTCTCCAGCATTTAATATATTACTTTTTCTCTCCCCATCAGGGATTTGGGAAACAAACCCTGAACCTTATGCATAGGTCCTTTTCATTGCCTTTCAAACAACTCGCAGTGTGTGTGACAAAGCAAAGTGGGGCAAAGCTTTTATCACAGACACGCTTTGAAACCCTTTGTCCCATGGAAGTCTCGGTAGGGAGCCAGGCCAGGATTAGAGTGAGGCAACTGAGGCAGGTCAGGCAGGCGCAGGGCAGGATCTCTGTTTCAATTTAAAATTGACATTTGCCTCATAATTATTACCTTAATTTTAATTTTTAAATATTGCTTCAAACATTACTTGTCTTGATCATTGATTTTTTTGGCACTCCGAAGTTTGTGCTTGAGGCAAATGCCTCGCTCAGGCTGCCCTCGTCGCTGTGCTGCTTAGGGTGACAATCTCCTTTTCTGATCACTCGTTGACAGAGAGAAAACATGTTTGGATTTGGAGAAAAGGTAGTGTAATTTCATTGAGAGAGTGGCCAAAACTGAGACTCCATCAAGTATTTCAAAATAACTCATATGATTCTAAACAATTATAATAAAGTTATCTTTTCCTAGCAACAGATTTGTGACTATGCCATAAAATCTTTCCTATATAGTAAAGCTCATACACTTCATACCCTAAAGCTATAAAGGAAATGATGAACAAAATGGAAAATATGAATGGAAATGTCAGTTGCCCCTCGGAGGAAGGAATGTGGCCTCTGGTCAAAACTCCAAAATGGGAGGAGGACAAATATGGTTTTCTGGCCAGGTTTGTTCCTATATCCTTGATGAATTTAGGCAGAGGTTAATTCATACTTTCTTCTCTCCTTCTCAAAGCAGGGGTTCTCCACATAACTGACTTCACTGTTGGCCAGTTTATAAAAAATAGATGCCATTTTTAAAAGGAAAAAATTAAAATTGCTCAGAAAGTCACTGCTTTCTAGTGCCAATAGGTCTACTTAACTCTGAATACACCGGCAAATCTTCTTTGTTCCATCCCATTTTCCTGGAAAAAGGACATACTGAGTAAAGTTATAGAACTGAGCTAACAATTCAGTGCATGCAGCCAATCACACTTGCTTAAATACTTGACCATAACTTTCAGGACTCAAAGTGGCTATTGATGTTCAGCATGCAATTATTCTACAAGGACCACATTTCTTTTGTATTGTACAGCATAAATAATTTTTTGAACAGGCAGAGCATGTAATAGAACTTTGCTAGGTGTAGTGTATATGAACAAAATAACCATATCTGGGTTTTAAGATACATATTCTAGAAAGAAGTATAAAGGAGAAATCTTATTCAAACAGATTAATGTTATAAACAATGAAACTGAGGTCCATAAAAGCAAAGCAGCATAGTAAAATTGGCAAATATAAACACCTAAGTTGAAAAAGAAGGCAAGAGTCTTTAAAAATAGGCCTGGAAGATTATAGGAACCTCCTATACTTTGAAGTATAAATAATTCAGGCTTTGAGATAATAGACCTAAAAGTTTAAACACTTACGTTGTTTACATCACATATGCCCCCTATGGATTATTCTAATAATTTGACTGTACTTTAGGAATTATTCTAATAATTTGACTGTGTACTCTATAGTGTCCTGTGGATGTTACCTCACTTGAAGTTTAGAAATGGTAAAATAACCACCTTTTTAAAGTGGAGTAGAATCCATCAGAGAATCATTCACTCACGGAGTGGTCACTCAGACCTGAAGACACGCTATTTATTTGATGAATAACATCTACTGCCATTCCTGCCATTTATCCTTATGTTTTCGAGAATCCTTCACTCACTGTAATAAACTGTCAGGCTTTTCAATCTCAATTCAAAAAGAGGGAGTTTCTAGCACTATCCAAAGCCTTTTCAAGACCCAAGGCGATCATAAAATAGGCTGTCTAAGTAAATTTTAGGACAATTATTTTTCATCCCCATATCCAATAATAGCACAGAAATGGGTGTGTTTTGAAACTGGTTATTACCACATAATTTTTTACCGCAAATAATTTTTTAAAATGATTAACTTGTACTATAGAGAGAAGTAAAATACAGGAGTAACTGGAAAACCAATATTCTATTTACATTTCTCTCTGCAACTATAGATTATCTATAATTAATTTTATAATGGTGCAAATATAAGCACACTTTGAAATCTTATGATGCAAAGATAAAAAGAGGCAAATCTGTACTCATTAATAAAACAAAATGTTTGATTAAGAGTATATTGATAAAATAAAATATTCATGATTTTAGTTTATTTTCTGTTGAATTTATTAATAATCTTTATATATATTTATATATGTATGGCTTTGAGCAAAGACAAAAGAAATATTCTAACTCATCCCTGATCATACAGTTGTAAGAATCAGCTATTTTCCCAGCAGCAGAAAGACCAGTCTTTTCAGTAATACATTTCTTTCTGTACAGATTAAAACTCCATACTTGGGGGCTTAACTATGTACAGAGAAAAGAGGTCACTTTTCAACTAACAATGGACTTTTATATTACAGGAAAGTGAGTCAATTTTTTTCTTAACCTAAGTATATATATTCATACATCTATATATATATAATTTACCCTGTATCATTTTATTAGTTTAACATATAAACCTTAGTTTTTTGTCCATTCTGTTACAAAGTGAATAAAAATTTTATGGTTGCACTGAAAGACCATGCAATTCAATTTTGCTTACATTTCCCAATAGTGCTCAAAAAAAAAAAAACCAAAAATTTATATATATAAAAATATTTCACTACCAAACCCATTAGTCCTATCAAATGTAAACCTTTAATAGTTTAAAGGACCAATACATGATCTTAATAAACTGAAGTTAATCTCAATATTTTAATAAAATAAAGGAGTTTGGTACTGATATGTAAATGTTGCAGCTTTCCCACAGTTTTAGGTAGACTGAACAATCCCTTTCTTACACCATTCCTAACATGCCATCACATGTCACCACCATGTTAGTGATAACAATACATTGGCTAGCATTGTTGATAACCTCTACATAAGCTGGGATCTGTTAGAAGTTAAACATAACAACTCATTTTGGTATTATAGGTATTATATCTGTAAAAGGCATAACCGGCAGCGTGGATCCATTTTAGAGTTTTTGCTTTTTTTTTTTCTGTCCTCAAGTCTATGTGGAGGCCCTGTCCCATTTGATGTGTGATCTTTGTTAAGTTCTTCTTAAATGTATCGCCGGTGTCAAAGATACCGAAGACCTCCGCTTCAGGTCATTCTCTTAACTTGGGTTATTTATAGAAGTCGGTTATTAGGAATCATCCAATTGTGTTCCAATCAGCCACCACAATCGTGGGGTCATTAGGCACAAATGATTACTAAGGGACTTCTTTGAGAAGCAGCAGATGCTCACAGATCATGGAGTTAAGGAAACAGACAAACAAACAATGCTCACAGACATTCAGTTTGACCCCTGCTTTCTGTCACCTTGTCCATTCATTTTTTTTCAGCGCATTTGAATAACAAACCTCCTATTTAAGGGCTATGTTAGTCACCACATGGCTTAAAGGTTTACTAACCATTTTGTTATAACGTACACAGGGCAGAGTGTGTGTTCCCAAATGGACCTGATGCTATAGTGCATTTATTTCCTTAAATTAATACCACAGTAAACTACCAACTACAGTGAAGACACAGACACCCTGGCAATTCCTAATCAAGCTGTGGTTTTGCAAATTATTATCTAAATGATAACAGTAATGATATTAAATGAAAGTGAAAACCTCACTTCTAGATTTAGGTCAGAGATCCAAGTCAGCCTTAGAGGAATTTTAAGATAAGCAATTAATGAATGGTTATTCTTTTCTAGAAATGAGAAATAGTTTAAGTCTTTTCCTGTAATGACTGATTTGAAGCTCTTCTTTTTACCAAAAAGCATGCAGGGACTAGTTTCAGATGCTTGATTATGGCAAGAAGGAAGAAAAGTAATGATTTTTTGGTGTAATACAAGCAATTTGTGGAACTGAGCATACAAGTTTGCCTAAAACATTGCAGGTTAAAATAATATTGTAGGTTTCAAGCCATTGCATTACAGTTGAGTAAGTGTCACAATAAAGTTTTGTAAAATTTAAAACTCTTAAGTTCTGAAGTAAAGCAATAAAACTAAATTCTTAAACGATGACTTTTACCTTCGTACAGAACAGAATAGCTATTTCATTTGGGTTGAAAAAGTTATTTACAGCTAACATTGATTGAGTCTTGGTAAAAGTCTGATAACATGAAGACAAATACCCTTCAGCTTTCTGAAAGGACAATGAACACATCTGAGGTTAGAGAGATTCTGTAAGCGGCAATGCTAGTCTCCAACCATGGCCAGGCATACAGTGTGTTCTTTACCTTAATTCAAAATTGAAAGCACCTAAATATAATTTAGACCTATAAAATCGGATTTGCTGTGTAATCCTTCATAATTAATGATTAACAATTTAGATGCAGAGACACAGCTAATGAAAGTTCTGATTGGTACTATTCAGTAGCTCACTTGAGTTGCCTTTTTAAAAATCAGTTTTGTTTTTGTTTCCAATGAATCAAAGAACTCTTCATAAAAGAGAAATACATATATCAAAGGAATTCAGTAAAAGTAGGCTAAAAATAAATAATCTTACAACAACATTTTAAATCCTTTAATGATGTAAAGAAAGGAAGACATATAACACTGAATGCTAAACAGGTCTTTTGAACTCTTAGGAATTTAGATATATATTTAATAGTATATATGTGTGTGTGTGTATATATACATATATATATATATATATATTACATTTTGCATGTAGGCCAGAGCTGTCTAAAATATCTCTCCGTAGTAGGCTATAGGGGATCTATCAGGAGACAGAGGAAAATAAGTTCTGAGAGTATCCTCAGTTTAAATTACAGTATTTCTTTCTGCTTTCACAATCAGCATGGATCATAAATTTGAAGCAAATCGTGGCTTTTCTGCATCTGGGTCTGTTTTTAAGACCGAGGACTCTCTCTGAAGAGCAGCTGCTGGTGGAGGGGGTGCAGGTGGGAGTGCTCCTCGGTTGGGGGGAATGGCTCCCGACGACATCTGTCGAAACAGAGTGACTCGCTGGGGGACAGTGCCCCTGCCCCCCGCCTGAAGGCCTGGGCCATGGACTGCTGTCACGGGTTGAGGAAGGGAGGCCAGGGACTCGCCCACGGTGGGATGAGGTCTGGAAATCAGAGTGGAAACCTCATGGGGCAGTGAGGGCTGCGAGGCAGACAAAGGCCTGACCTCGCGGGTCAGGCTGGCATTGTGCAGTGCCTGCGCACTGCGGTGCACCTCATTTTTGGGCGTGGAGCTGCTGGGCGGCTGCGACGGCTGCGGCGTCTGTGGCGGTTGCGGTGGCTGCGGTAACGGTGTTGGCAGCTGCGTGAGCGATAGCTGGGAAGTGGTGGGAGAGGCATAGTGGAAAGTTCGCGCGGCCAGCGGGCTCTGCACTGGTGGGCTGCAGACCGCCGTGGTGTAGGAGCAGGGCGACAGCATGGCCGAGGGCTGCGGCGTCTGCGTGCTGGGGCTGGGGGAATGCAGGTTGCTGTGAGACAGGCTGGGGGCCGTGTACACCGGCGGGGACTGGGTCCTCACGCGCACGGTGGGCGTTGTGGTCGAAGACGTGGAATTCAGGGTTGCAGTTTGAGGGTAATTAATCGGAGGGATTGCCTGCACCATCTCCCTGTCGTGTTTCACAATCTGCTTCAGGATCTCATTCTCCTGATTGTTGAAGACACCAGTGTTCAGATCCTTCTGGAACTTTTGCAGAAGAATTGAGTTTTTCTTTCCTGTCAGCAGAACAAAGAAGGGCATTTAGAAAGCCTACAAACGACTGATGACAACTGCAAGTAAGAGTGGCTCCTGAGAACCGAAGTGTGCCAGTGTTTAATGGAGAGGCTTAAAAGCAAGTACTCACCTTGACAGCATATGCAAAGTGTGGCTCCTGCCCTGCACGCTTCCTGTTGTCTCTCTGATGAATATTACCTACTATGCAAGTCAAGTTGAAAAGTCTGTAAGATGGCTGCCATTTTACAGAAGAAATGGAGATATTTAACATGAGGGCTGCCTTGAAGCGTGGGAGAGGAGAGGGCATTTGGATCAGGATGGGCCTGGAAAAAAAACTTCAGTTGAAAGCTACCTTTTCAAGAAAGACAATGGAACACTTACTATCTGACAGACACTCAACTGAAGGCTTTAGGGAGATTAATTGTTTTTAATCCTCAGCTCTTAGGGGGTAGGGTGTTCACAATCCCACTTCACCCAAAAGGAGAATGGGACACAGGAAGGTTAAGAACAATGCCCATGAAAATGTGGTTAAAAACTAATAGGACTGGGGAGAGAAAACATAAATCGCTTGTAGATCCTTACTACAGACAACCAGCCAGCCGCATGTGTATCGCTTGAGGGTTCTCTAGCCTCTTGGGTCTCACCGCACTTGCTGAACCAGATACTGCATTTTACTGAGATCCCTGAGTGATTCTCACATGCACATTTGTGAAGCACTGTGGCAAGGCCTATGCAAGTGATCCTCCCCACCACTTTCATATTTTTCTCATCTTTGGAGTTTTAAAACATACTGATTGCCATCTATACCCTGCCAATTAAATCAGAATAACCAGACAGGGGTCTAGATTTAAGTACTTCAAAAGCAAATGTCCCCAGGGGATTCTTATGCATAGTCAGATCAAGAACCACCTCATAATCTTTCCTCATCTGAGAGATTGTGAGATTGAAGAGACCTCCTAGAGGGCAGGCTCTTGGCTCACTCTAGTACCTCAATAAGCATTACGTCTCCTTCTTTGACGACATTGGCATTGGAGTGGTTTGCAATAAGTGGACATTCTCTGGCAGTATAACCATCAGAATTAAAATTAGATTGAAGAAAGAGGAGAAAATTGGTGATTTTTTTATGACCTCTTGATAAAATAATACCCAGGTGAATACGGTAACAGAAAAGTAAATCAATTTGTCATATTGCTAAATAAAGTATCATATCTAAAGTAACAAGGAATATTTTTGAATGGAAATACATGCTATAATTTACTTGACTGGTAAAACTATCATTTTAGATGACTGCCAAAATAGTTACTGTCTCTCTTTACAGAATTGTCCTAACTTCCCAAAGAACAAAACCTCCTATGTTAGTAATAAATATAAATGATGACTGAGCATACTGTCTTAGCTAATGTGAAAACAGCATGAAAGCAAATGAGTTCAGCCTTTCCCAAAATCCAGCTATGCCAGAAAACAAGATGGCTTCTGTCAGGCTCACTGAGGCCCAAAGCAAAACAGAGTAGGATACCCATGTGTTAACAAGAGGCGACACACTATTCTGTGTTCTTGGAAGACCCACAAAATAAAGCATATTCTCCAAAGCCAAACCAGTCCCTCACATGGTCCCACTACTGCTGCCAAAACAGACAAGGGCTGGAAAATCAATCAGCTGCAACTTGCATCAACCAATCCAGATGTAACAAGCTTGCCTCCCTCATTTACATAATGGGCCTGTGCCGAAACCTGGCCAGAAACTTTTACTATAAAACCAATCCTCTCCCTTTGTTCCTCTGGTCGCACTTTTGGTTCATAGACAACCAAGGGCTGTGCCTCCTGGGTACATATCCATTTTTTTAGCAATAAAGTTGTCCTTAACTAAATTTCCTATTTTATAGAGAGATTCGTTAACACTAAATACTGTATACATTCATAAGCAATAGCCATAAAATGGAGAAGGATGATATTTCTGTGTGATTATGAGAATAGTCAGTATTTCATAATTTTAAGTATCTATGGACTTGTAGAAAAATACCGTAACTTGTAGTACAATGTTACAACTTTTTAGGTATGAAAACTGCAAATGCTTGGTGCTTATTAGCAATTTTATGGCCCACATTATTGACTGCAAACCATTTCATGCCAACTTCTTTATAAAAATTAACTGTAATAAATTAGATAAGAGTGAAATTTTAACCCTCTTTATGAGTAACAGAAATCTCTTGAAATATCCTGATTTTAATGTTTTCTCTAAAGCTGTGTAGCTGGCTTAGGAAAGAACTCCTATGCTCAGAAGTTAGTTCCTAGCTCTACCATGAGAACTCATACACCACAAAGAGGGATGTTATTTTCAAATTAAGTAAAGATGTTCTCAGGAGTACTCACTTCTTTAATGGGCTTTGTCTCCATGGACACTATGTCCTCTTACATCTCTAAGTTGTCAATGTGAATTTCTAATATGTGTGTTATGTTTAAAGGCAATGTCCAAATACCACCCTTACTTCTAACTGAATTTCAGACCCTCAAGGAGTTTTTGTCCTACTAATATAGAGTGAAAACAAAAATGTAAAGTATAGAAGAAAAGCTGACGCAAGACTTTATCAGTCAGAAGTCCTTACCTCTAATAAGAATGAAGCAGTTGAAGGACCTCTTTGCTTACTCCCAAAGATCCCAGCCCTTTCTCCTTCGAGTTCATTGATTTGTCAACCTTCCCTACCTCTCTTCTACAATATTCATGGTGTACTAGGAACTGTAAGTGTAATAGTGAATTAGACACAATCTCTGCATTCATAAGTCTCAGAGTCTGTGAAGCAATTACAATAATGAAGGCAATGTTGTAATGGAAGACCTTCCGATGAGTCTGGGAGAACATACCCAGCATACTCAGACTCTTAGTGGGACAGGAGGTCAGAGAAGGTTTTTACAGGGAAGTGAGGTCTAAACTAAGGAGGGATGAGTAGAGTTAAGTAGGGCAAGGGGGCAGAGCAGGGTAGGGTGGGAGAAGAGGATTTAGGTGTGGAAAATGAATCCATACCACCTTCTGACATCAGAATGTTCCAGCGTATCTTGGGAAGTGAACAGCAAGCCCAGCTGATCTAACTTTACTATGGCAATTAATCAAATCTGTAAACTAGTATATCTACTAAAGTCTAATTTACATTTTTTTATTTGAGAGCAGAGAAGACTTTGAAATAAATTGATATTTGCAAAGTAAAGCATCCATATAAGGCACTTCTATCGAGGCTTTTTCTGCTTGAGTCTGTATTACAAACAATTCCAGAAGTTTCTACTGAGACAATTAAAATGCACAAATTTCCAATTCTCAATCTAAGGATAAAAATGTAAAGTTGATCCTTAAAAACTAAAAAACCTTCATAATAAAATTTGTTTTGTGATGTAGACTCACTATGTATTTTTAGTTCAATTTTAGTGCTACCTAGAATTTTTATCATTGCTTTTAACTTGAGGATTCAAATTGTCTTGGTATCAACTAGGGAAATCAGATTGTGTAGCTAGTAAAAATAGAGATGAATACTTTAAAAAGTTACGTAGTAGAAATATGGCTAGAGCCAACTGCAATTTGTATGTTAATCAACAAGCAATCTACAACCTTACATTTAGGACTTATGATGGCAAACATACATCAGTCCACTGGATTAAAATTACATTGTGCACAAAGAAGATTAGAAAACTGAAGAAAGAGTACCTATCCGGTCCAGTCGGTCGATGGCAACTGTCTCAAAGGCTCTCCTCATCATTGGATATTCCTCCAGGACCTCATTGAAATTGTCCACAGACAGTGAATAAAGACGACAATATGTATCAGCTCGAACACTGGCAGTGCGGCGTCCCTTGGTCAGCAGGCAGATCTCTAGAAAAACAAGAAATAAAGATTTGTTTGGAAAGGAAAGGAAAATGACTGGCATTTCTGAAAGGCACAGTTGCTTAACTAAAGGAAATATAGCAAATAATTACCAAAAGGGGCCTAAATTCACACTTCGCTGAACTTTTTTAAAGAAGTTCAGTCCATGTTGATAAATATTATTAGTAAATTATGTGGTAGACATCGTGGACTTGATATTAGGGTTGGAAAGGTAAGTCATACATAACTTTTACTTTGTGTTACATCTATATTGGTGGTAATAAAAAAAGAGTTCATCTTAAGTGTTCATTTAAATGCACTCTGGTAAGGATAATGATACAGAAGAAAAGCACTGTGGGAGTACTACAAAAGCATAGAGATGATTTTAGGAAATGCCACCTAAGCCCCCAATTATGTTTGTTGTTGTTCATGCTGATAAACATGTTGGAAACAATAAATAATTTTGCCAAGTGTTCATGTTTGTGTGAGTGCTCATGTGTGTGTGTGTGTGTGTGTGTGTGTGTGTGTGTGTGTGCATGCACATGTGCACTGGTTGTGTGTAGGAATCTATATTGGTCATCAGTTAAGTGTAAAGCTTATTTTCACATCATGGAATTTCCTGGCTACTCTAAAAAAATGTAATAAAAGGAACTATTTTCAATACTACCCCAAAATTAAATCCCTCTGTCATTTAAGTATTAATGCCATATTATATAATTTATGAATGCTACATATGGCAAAGAAGCTAATGAGAAGTGTTTTACTGCTGAGCATTGGGTTCAGATCTAAACAAGTCACCATGTAGAATGGTTATGAACCTCAGGGAAAATAACCCAATAATATGTAACAAAGGTCTTAACAAATATCCTTACTCATCAACCCAGGAATCTCACTTGACAATCTAACCTAGAAATAAATTAGAACAATGTTGTTTATGTGGTGATGTACATTTATTTATACATCTGAATATATGGGAATGACCTAAATGTTCAACAAGTCAAGATTCATAATTATATGGCCACCAGATGAACTATGAGGCAGTTATTAAGAGTAAAGCTTTTAAGGTCTGTGTAATTATGGTAAAAAGGTCATGAAAGCTTAAGTGAGAAAACACAGATATAAGATTTTAAGTATAACATGATAAAGATGATCACATATAAATAAGATGACAATAAAATATACCAACATGTCCTGCTCTGGATGGAAAACAGTCCTTTTTGTAGGTATGCTATCTATTTATGTTTCTTTTTCACTTTCCCTCATATAAATTATTTTTATTTGTGGACAAGTATAGCTTTTATTTTAAAAATTTTATTTAAAAAATAAAAAACCAAGCACACAGAATACAAAAAAACGATATGAAGGAACATAAACAAACCTGTTAATAGTGATTATTACTCTTGTAGAAGGTTTCCTCAATTTTACCTTCCATTGTTTTTGATATATTTAAAAATTTTTGGTACATTTTTAATTTCCAGCACTTTCCATTTTCCTATGTTTGTTGCTTTGTCATTATATCCTTCTCTTTTGTTGTAGATATGATATCCTCTGTCTCCCAATAGGTATTGAGAGTTCTGATGCTGAATTACACATATGTGCTACAACTTGGATAAGCCTCAGTATGCTTCACAAACGTAAGTGAAAGAAGCAAGACATGAGAGTCCACACACGATATGATTCCATTTGTGTGGAATATCCAAAAAAGGGAAGCCTATCGAGACAGGTAACGGATGAGCGGTTGCTTGGGGCACTGAGTCAGAAAGGAGATTAACACGAAATGGACACAAGGAATCTTTTCAGGGTGATGAAAAATGTTCTAAACCTGATGGATGGGGATGGTTTCATAATATGGTGAATTTACTAAAAATAATTGAACCATACACTTTAAGTGGGTGGATTATAGATGTAAAATACACTGCAATAAAACAAAATGCAAAGAAAAAAGGCTTTTGTCATTATATTTCATTTTTATGTTTACATTTTAATTTCTCTTCTTAATCCTTCCTCTTTACTCTCTCGACTTGCTTGTTTCTGCCTCTGTGTCTAGATCTTTCCCTTGAATGTTGAATAATATTTTCAGGAAACTCACTGATGACCACATTTAAGTATGAAAACTCCAGTGTGTGGCATAATTTGTGGACTTGGACTTTCTCTCTAGAGTGAAGAGGTGGGGAGTTTGTCTTCGTATTTCCCGGAATGCCAGCATGGGGAAGGCTTTATTCCAGGGTCTCCAATATCTCTCATAACTGTACTAGTTCCCCAGCTTGTTCACTTGCTTTATGAGAGAACCACAGGCTCTGGCCTCCCCCTACTCCCATCTTAGGAGAATAAAAATGCCTGGCTCTAGGCTGTTCTGCCATGTGGACTAAGAGACAGAGAGCCCTCATGTACCATACACAGGACTTTAAAAAAAAATCTGGCTTGAACAACAGAAATTTATTTTATCACAGCTCTGGAGGCTGGAGGTCCAAAATTAGGGTGACAATATGATGGTCTGCTGCTGACAGCTGTCTCCCTGGCTCCCAGAAGGCCACCTTCTTCTGCTCCACTCATGGAAGGGAGCAAGCTCTCTGGTCTCTTCTTACAATGTCTCCTGACTGACCCCGTCACATGAGGGCCCCACCCTCATGATCTCACTGGAACCTACCACCTCCTAGCAGCTCCTTCTCCAAACACCATCACACTGGGGGCTGGAGCCTCAACATATGAATTGGGGTGGGGGTCAGAGGGATGCAGTTCAGCCCATTGCATCTGGCTTGTTTGACTCTTCTTTCAGTTTAACCCTAGCCTGCCATGTCTTTTAGGTGATCACAGTGGGAAGTATCAGCATGCTGTTTTTCCACCTGGTGGAGTAGCCAGCTGAGCGTGATCTTGTCTCATGGTATTCAAAACCTATGTAATAACCTCCCACACTGTTCCAGGGTTGGTTTATGTTACCAGTAAAATATGGCAGCAGTGCACCTTCTATTTTGTCTCTCTGTCTTTCCTTCCTCTTGCCCTCTCTCTCTCTTTCTTATCACTTCTTCCAAGGAGGAGCCAGCTGCCATGTGTGAGTTGCCCTGTGCAGATGCACTGAAGTCTCCTGCCAACACACATTTAAGTAACTGAAAGTGGAATCTTCATCCCTTCAGATGATGCATCCCTGTTTGATTACCCTTGGCTGTAAGGATTTGGACAAATACATATATTCTTTGGAAATTTATTCATCTATAAAAGGTAAAATTTAATTAAATCTCCAGAGTTTTATTAACATTTAACCCATAACCTCAGATGACAGTCATTTTTTATTGTAAAGTCTCAATGATCTTTTTATCTTCTAAGCCTTAGGGGCATCTAGGAGGGGCTTAATGTTTGCTGCAATGAGTCATTGAATTAAATAGCAACATGCTCTATACAGTCAGTTTCAATCAAGGGAAAAACTAAGGGCTACATGTAGACTTACAGTAACAAAGTCCTTTCAGAAGTTAAATAAAGGGCTTCGTTTATTACCAACATAAACTCATGAGCCATTATCTCTCAGCATGTCCTCAATGATTTCTTATTGAGAAATAGAACAAATGAAGGCATATTCATAAGAGTGGAAACAGTCACTGGTTAGTGCAAAAAACTTCAAATTGTGCCTTCTTCCTTTAAAGCCTCCCTGTTCTTTGCTTCTACCGTGAATAAATGAAGAAATGCCACACATCCAGCAATGAACAAAGGTAAACATTTAGATTATAAGTGAGTCTTAGATTTCATGAACTAAATTTCCTTATTCAGTATGAATGCAGTAGGGGCTTCTCTGTGACTAATATTATCCCGATATTAAATTATTTTGGAGAACCCCATAAGTAAAGAGAATCCTATGTTATTTACTCACTTTTTGTGTATGTGCATTTGGGTTTGGGTAAAGGCAGAGAGAAAAATCAATTTAGTCATCTGTATCCCATTCTATCCTTATGGTTCCTTAGAAATTATGTACATATTAATATATCACTTTTTATTTTCCTGTATTGGATTTTCTAATTGTATCCTGAGTATTGATTTTGTCTCCCTAGATGGCTTAAGACATTTTACTGACAACAGTCATTCAGTAAGATTACTGTATCCCTTCTAGTGCCTGCCCCCTTGAGTTCTGAGCCCAGAGCAAGTTATTTTTAAATGCTTATGACCTCAATAATTGTGGATGAACCCAAGGCCCACACTAAGTGCTTGTGGGGAAGCTGGGGTTCCTATGGCCAGGATCCTCACTGGACTTAAACCACTTGCTGATGTAACTGGTCTGTTGCTAGGTTACTGCTTCCACATCAGTAGGCAATTAGCTATTATTGCACTATATAGAGAGGTTGGCCCAGTGCTCTGGGCGGAGGCAAAGACGCTAGTGCTCGACCTTCCGCTGGGAGAACAAGCTGGGTAATAAACCCTTTCACCCCAGAGAAACGTTCTACTGTCATTTCTTTGGTCACCCTGAATCCATAGCGAACTTGCCGGGGGCTGAAACCCACTGGCAAGACAATGCTATTCTTAAGTTTTAGATGAAGTAGTTATCAGTTCTCTTGCTAGGTATCTCCTCCTTTTGTAGAAGAGCTTGCCAAATGCTCCATGTACCTTCTTTAAGTAACACAGTATATCTTTGGGGTTTTTGTGCAATGTCTATACTGAAGAAAGTATCTGAAAGTTTTGGTAATGTTTTCTTCAAGTGTAGATATATGTTCCTACTTAACAGGTATAACATGAATTTACTTCTGGGGGCTGAAATTGACTTCATATAGAAAATAAAACATAAAATGAAATAAAATTGCACTCCCTAAGAACAAGTTAAGTGCAGCCTACCGATGTAAGCTTTTTAAAGCATCTTCTGGCATAGTTTCTAGACCTTATTGGTTATTACACTCTTTCTGTTTTTTATCTCATTTATTTACTCTCTGAGAATTCAACTAGGAATTTCGTAGCAGTGCAATCAGTGCCTTAAAAATTTTAGTTCAAATTTACTTGGAAACAAGTCATTTAATCTGGATACAAATACCTAAATTA